ATGCTGGCTGGGGAATTCTGGGAGTTGAAGTCCACTCATCTTAAAGTGGCCAAGTTCGGACAACACTGGTTTAAGGTATCAACTTTAAAGGGTAGGGAATCTATCACCTTCCATTTGTTGCTGAGTTACAGCCCCCAACAGTACCAGCCATTATTCCCAATTGTGAGAGATGCTGAATATTTTCAGTCAGTGACATCTGGAGGGCCACTATTGCTATTTTAATGTAATTATACATACTCTATTAATTACCTAGCTAACTATTAGCTACTGAAAATTCAGTTCTGTAGTTTTAATTTTTCTTTCTGACTTGGTTATATCGGCCATACCTTGAAGAATTTTTCACTCATTCATAATTTTATTTTGTAGCTACCGATACTTCAGAAACATGGGATCACTCATGTAATATGCATAAGACAAAACATTGAAGCAAACTTTATTAAACCAAACTTCCAGCAGTTATTTAGGTAAGAAAATCTTAAATACTGCTTTGAAAACTCTGGTCATGAAGCCTGGTACAATATGTGCTTCTTAGGATAGTATGTATCATTTGTACACTCTTATAAATACGTGTCTGGCAAGTATATTGTATGCCAGTAAATAAAAGTATGGGAAAGAGGCATGTAAGATGATCTGTTTTCTTCCTAACAAGATGAGAATGACACAAAGGGAAAAATGAGATAAAATCTTGATATATAATGTAATATACTGTGGTAATGTACATCATGTTCTATCAAATATGTCAAAAATTTTGACTTCTTTACAGTTCACACTTCTAATTCTCATAATTCCAAAAAGGCATCCAGATGATTTGTTAATCTTTATTCCAAATGTTCAGAGGTTTCAAATGAAGTAAGTCAGTGGGATTTACAGTATCATTTTGTATCTCTAGGGCTTTAGATTTTAGATACAGTCATTGGAGCACATTTTGATGTCAGCTTTATAAGTGAATGTGAGGCACCTGTCCTCTCTAGAACCTGATTCATAGAATTTTGCTACATTCTTAAATCAGTTGGGTTTCAGTTACTGTTAGGTTGCTCAAATTTTAGCTACAAATTTGTATTAATGGTTTAATAAGAAATGTTGTTCAGTAACATTTTTTTTTTCATTACAGATGATAGAATTAATTGTAATTCTTTCACTTCCTATGCATTCCAGAATGCCTTCTGAGTTTTTTTGCAAACTTGAAGGTGGAAACTCAAACATTGCTGATAACTTTTTCTTCTGCTAGAGGCTTTGAACTGTTTTAAACTGCTGGTTTATAAACCATTTGCTGGACCAAGTGTGTCATGCTGCAGTTGTATGTGGCAAATAGTTCAACATAAGTACCTGATTTATAACAATTCAGACTGTTTATCTTTTCTGCTTCAATGTTATCTATTGCCTGGCACCAATTCCTCAAAATTTCAGGCAAGATTCTACCAAAGACTACTTGGAGGTATTAGGAATAGAACTTGGGAAGCTGATTTGAAGTAATGTAGAATCATAAAAAAGTATGTTAATCCTTGCAGTATTACCACTTTTCTTCTGAAATTCTCATCTAGCTTGATTCTGCTCTGTAGAAGTCCAGGTCTAGATTATTGAGGTGTATTTCAACAGAGGAGGGTTCATCAGAATATGCAGTGGCAGTATAAAAAATTTAATTTAATCTCTGAGATTAAACCTACTCCCATTTTCTTAATGAGCTCCAAATGATTTAATTTTTTATGACTGTTTAACACTTTAGAAAATGGCTGGTTCTGCCTATGTACTCAACAAGCTTATTTTAATTGTAGGTATTTAGTCTTGGATATTGCTGATAATCCCATTGAAAATATAATAAGGTTTTTCCCGATGGTAAGTGTTTATCATCATATATGAGTTAAACTGTTTCATAAGCATACATTTTAGAACTGATGGGAGTTAATGGTATAGATACTTTTTCACTCAACTGAAATAATTCAGGTAAATAAATTTTTATCTTTGGTTAGGGTTGCAATGTCTAACCATATTACCTGAAACACTGTAATGCATTGATATGCATGGCATTTTGTGACTCATAATACATCCTTTTCTTTGTAAACATGAGCTTTGTTTTAAATTCTGCAATTCAAAATTACAATTTAAATATGCACATTCAAATTATAGAGCAAATGGAGAAAACATTGCCTTTTCAGTATCATTCCTTTATACGTTTTCATACTAAGAAATGAAACATTGGAGAGAAATAGATATACATGGTTGTTTCATCCAAATGAAAATGTGTTTGTTTTATGGTTTCAGTTCTATACATTTAAACTTTTGCTGGTTCATTTGGCAGAGTAACGAAAGGATTAAAGTAAAATAATTCTGTATGCTTGTGCATTGTAAAAAGATAGTGGAATTTGATTTTTTTATTCATATGCAGCCTCTAATTAATATCATTCTCTGCCAGGGATTATTATACCATGAAGAATGTAATTTAGAAATGACCGGATTTTGAGTTCACTGATATAAGTGATGCTTACTGCGCACTTCTACTTTTGTATTGGGTTCTCCCTAGTAAATTACATTGTTTTGGAGTGAGCAGATTAGGTATTTAAAAAACGGAGGCAGGGGATTTTAATATGCATTAAGCATTTAGAGAATTAATCCACCTATTCCCCTTAAATTCATGCTGAAAATTGGTGAGAAATCATACCAATGTATGATGGGTAGCAGTCTGCCTCTGAATTTTGCTGCTGGCACGATCAGGCAGGGGATGATTCCAGAGGCTGCAGAAACTGCAAGATGCTGCCCTGTATTGTAACATCATGAGTAATAAAAGCACTACAATTTGCCATAAACTTAACAAGCAACAATAAAAATGCGTAAGAAAGCAGCTAAAATCAGAGGTGTTGGTGGACTTTAACCCCAATTACAACCGTACGATCTTTTTTTCATATTTCCTTTGTGGTCTGATAGGCTATACTGTACTTGCATGCATAACTGAATTAATATCATGAGACAGTTGGTATATGTAATAAAAATGACCACAACCGTAAATCTAGTTTCCCTTTGGAGGTGCTTGGAGGTGCCCACGTGAATTTTATTGGGTTCTGTGCTAATACCTGTGAGATGCTTCTTTTTTTTTCACACACTCTGGCACTACATTTATTTAAAAAAAACAAAAAACCTGGTGTATGCATGATCCAGCTCTTTTTCCAACATGGCAAAACAGCATTGCACCATTGCCGTGCAAACTCTGCTCCTTTTGTACATGCACGCATTGTTACAATGGTGTAATGTTGTTTTCATCATTTGACCCCCCCACACACAAATGCCATGGATAATTAATATGCTCAGTTTTCGTTCTTTTCAATTTAAGCACATCTATGTAAAGTATATTAGAATGCTGATGAAAAGCCATAGTATAATCTATTGAGCCATGCTTTAATATGCTGTGTCTTCTATGGGAACTCACATAAACTCTTATTAAAATATTTTACTGGATGAAGGTTATACAGCAGATACAGTCTTTTATCTGAGCAAGCAAGGCGTTTACTGGTGCTAAATTCTCTGTAGCAGCAAGCAGAATATACCTTATATTCAAATACGCAGACATCCAACTATTCTTTTATGTTTTGTTGTGCCAGGATACCACCCGTTTTTCTACTATCGATTTAAACTAAATTGTTGTTCACCTCCTATTGCCTTACCTGGTTATATCAGTTCAGTATGTGTAGTGCTTAAGGCACCAGGCTAGAAACCAGGAGACCGTGAGTTCTGCTTCCGCCTTAGGCACAGGGCCAACTGGTGTCTTTGGGCCAGTCACTCTTTCTCATCCCTAGGAAGAAGGCAATGACAAACCACTTCTGAAAATCTGGCCAGACAGCTTCTTGTCCAGGAAGTTTCTAGGAGTTAACACTGACTTTTGAAGGCCTGTTTTTAATTATTAAAGTTGGGATGTGTTTAAATTGAAAAGAACACAAAACATAACAATCAAACAGACTTAATGAGAGCAGCTGGCTAGGTAGACCAAACTGTTTGTCTCATATTTGGATCTCAAAAACTGGGAGAAAAAATGCATTAAAGGGTGGCTCCAGGCAGGAGGTTACTGTTTGATAAATATCAAAGATATGGTAATCTCTATTTTTAAAAATCATATTCAATATTTTTAAAGATAATTAAAAACAAGTAAATAAGGTTTACAAGCATTATAACATTAAATTAAAAATTAAAAATCAGAAGTAACATTAGTATTGTTCTGCATATTAGAATATCTGTAACAGTTTAGAATTTAAATTATCAAAATCACAGTGTACAATGATTAACAAAAACTAGTATAATTATAAATCAAAATATATATTACAAGATTTAATGTCTAATCTAAAAATTCTGTCTCTAGCAAATCAGACAAAAACTTGATATTAAAGAAACCAAAAGAAAACCAATTTAGTATACTTTTTGGGAATGTAAGTTTTGGTAGTGTTTAACAAAAATGGCTGGTTAGAAAGATAATTCAATATGCAAAATTTATTTCATACTATAATAGATCATCTTCCAGAATTGTTGGGCTTTGCAACCACCAAATTTGAAAAAATGATCTGACCTGGCTATTGCATTTCCAACCATTTTTAGAGAATGGAGGCGATTGGAGTTCCCCACAGACATTATTGCATTCTGTAGTAGTACCTATGAGGTTTTTTTAAACCTGAGAAGTTATTATGATAGATGTACGTGAATCAAATTATGATTGAAAGTAATCATTTTTAAGCATTTTTAGTAAAGCATTTGTTTTTTATATTATGTCCTGTCAAGAATCATCTTAAATGTAATGTAAAGAAGGCAGGCAATTGCTAACCTTTGTACTTTTTTGTACAGAAATTATTTAAATGATTTTATATGGTATGCTAAATGTAATAAAATTGATTGGTTCTTTCAGTATAAGCGTTTTTAATAAACTGGAATAGGAATGGAATTTTTTTCTTCTTTAGACTAAGGAGTTTATTGATGGGAGTTTACAAACTGGAGGTATGTATCTTAAATTCTGTTTGCCTGAAAATTGGTCAAATTTTAGTTTTTTTTTCAGATTAAATATATATACAGATGAACTATATGAGATGAAAATACTTTGTCATAGAATGGCCATTATTATTTATAGGCTTATATCAAGATTTTTTTTTCCTTTTTACAGCTTTGATCATCTTTCTGATACCTAGAATAGTTTTTTACAAATCAAGGAAAAATTTTGCTATGGGGCAAAGTAAGGCAATTTTTAGTGGGTTCATGGGATATTTGGAGACTATATCATGAGTTCTTTTACAAAATGGTTGCCGTAATGGACATGGATAGATAGGTATTACTGTTTTTCAAGAAGGCAAAGCTATGAGTTTGCTCTTTGCCATCATTTCCTGCAATGTAACATGCTTTGTACTACTCTGCCTTATCTTATTTTCTAAGGCCTGTGGGGACTATATGAGGCCAAGAGACATTTCTGCAAATATATATCACAATAGAAATTGACGTTCTACTTTGTGGCATACTGACTTCCTATTTAATTTTCTTAATTAAAGAATATGAGAAGAACAGATTGGGTAGAGAATCTGGTAGTTCCAACTGCACAATAGTGTCTTTAGGCATCAGGTTGGTTAACCCTGATACAGATTATGTAAGGGTAGATTCAGCTTTATTGTCATAATTCTTTACAGTAAGGATGGGTAGTCCATGGGCTGCATGTGGCCCTCCCCACCGACATGTCGGCTCTCCCTATTTGTAGCCCCATGGTATTGTTGAGATCTCCTACCAAAATGTTAGTGGCACAATGGATGCTTTGTGGTAACACAGTCTGTTCCCTCCTCCCCCCTGCCCCATAAGTTTGCAAATGGAAGTTTTCTGGGTGACAGGCTTCTCCCATTTCTGTCTTTATACCACTCCAAAGTTTGGTGGCATAATATTACAGTCTTTCAAAGATGGAATATTTCTGTAAGCATAGGAATATGACCTAACATTCTTATTCCCATTTTTAACCTGCCCTTCCCACACCAAAATTTATAGCCATGCCCTTTTCAGTAGTGTCACTGGATGCCCTCCTCCAGAAAGCTTGAATTGCTTTCGCCCAGTGATTTAATGTTTGCCTATCTTTGCCTTAGAGGCTAATTTGAACAGATAACCACATGATACAATAGTCTTCCTTTTAACAATCAAAGTATACAATAACGTTGCTTAGCCTAGAACTCTGCATCTAGCTTAAAATCTATGTTATTACTGCTGATGTTTAGTCAGTCTTGGTTTGTGGTTTAGATCAGGGTTTTTAGACTGTGTCCATGGAGTCCTAAGGTTCTGTGAGAATTTTGTGGGGTTCCATGAAAGACTAAGGGTGGGGTGAGTTCACGTGAATGCAGCTGGGACATCCATAGCAATTTTTCAAAAGCATGGTGAAATGAACAGGACTTGTTTTCCCACAAAAAAATGCCATGGCTGCAATTTTGCAGATCAAAGGTTCTGGGATTTTTTTTTTTTTTAAATAAACAGATTCTGATTCTGAAAACTTTTAGAAATCCCAGATTTAATTTATATAGTATATTGTTTTATTTAAAAATACTATATTCTGTCTTTTGATCAACTGATCCACAAGGTAGCCTATAATAGATTTTAATACTGTGTTTATGTATGTGTCCACAATTAGTAGCCTTTAGTTTTCTGGCTCCTAGCAGAGGTCAGAGTTTACACTTCCCTTCTACTCTGCAGCTCCAGGGCAACTGGCACCTGGAACTCAGTGTTCATTTTGGCACAAATGGGGCAAAGTCCTTGCTAGTATTCTTCCATTGACAAATAGATGGCCAAGCAGATTTCCCACTTGCCACTCTATCTTTCCTGAGAGACGGGATGCAGTCCCCAAGAACTCTTTGATATCTTGATTGACCTTAATAAACCCCCTTGTGGATCTTGCAGATAACTCGTACTGGGTAATATAAATAATATAATTTAAGAGATGGAAATGCTATGTAGCTAGTGTAAAGTAACTCTCTTCATTCTCAGGAAAAGTTCTTGTGCATGGGAACGCAGGGATTTCTAGAAGGTAACAAACATTCACATTTTTAAAAAACATTGATGAGGCATGACCAACATATCTTACCTTGTTTATTTGTCTGTTTTCAGTGCTGCCTTAGTTATTGCATATATTATGGAAACATTTGGTGTGAAGTACAGGTAAAGACATTTACTAAATAGCCTATTGTATTTCTAGATAGGAGACCTGTAAAATTCTTGCTGGTTAGTGTAGACCATAAGAATTAGATATTAATTAGTTATTTAACTTTCTTTAAAACAGATTCATTCTTAGATTCTTCCCAAAATTATTCTCTTTTCTTTCTCCAACTCAACTTTTGTGGACTTTGTTTAAACTGTGTTTGTTTAATACTGCAGTAATGATGTCTCCTGGACAGACTTATTGCTGCTTTTAAATGTAACTTACCAGATATAAATAGTATTAAGCACAGAACAAAATATAAACAAATAAACAAAATATAAACAAAATATTTGTTTATATCTGTTATGTTACATTTAAAAGCACCAATAAGTCTGCCCAGGATATTTATTATATTATATTATATTATATTTAAAATTTATCAGAAATTTGATATGCAACTTCTATATAAAGAATATTCTTGGAAGTAAGTATAAAAGTCAGATAATACAGGTTGAACACATTCCTTATTGCAAATCTAGGCTTGGTTAACACCAGCACAGAAATTCTAATATATCATTCTAAAGTCCAAGAATGGAGAGAAGAACAAACATAACTAAAGGAAAATATTAAGGAATTGAATCAGAAACCAAATGAAACTGATATGAATTGAAGATAAAAATGGATAATCTCTTTTTTCTAGGGATGCATTTACATATGTGCAAGAAAGAAGGTTTTGTATTAATCCCAATGCTGGATTTGTTCATCAACTTCAGGTAAATTCTTTTTCTACACATTGACAATGTAGATGTTATTACTGATTCTCTGGGTAGTGTTACTCAATTGTCTGAAATGTATTGATGTTCTGATTTGAAAGAAAGGTATTTATTTTTATCTTTTCTGGCTGTTGGTTATATTTTCCAGTATAGTTGGTTATTTTTTTCAAATACAATATTTACTTGGACACTGAAATTTTGAATTTTTGAATGTGAATTTGAAATTTAAAAATATTGAAATGTTTGAAAGTGTGAGTGGATAAGCTTAACTGAATATATAAACTAGAAACTTAAATATTAAAAGGAGTTTATGATTGTTAATAGAATCTCTAAAGTATAATATATGGCCAGAGATATTGAAGATTCTGGAACAACCACTAATGAGCTAGCATCTTCTATGGCTGTAGATGTTCTTTGAACCATAGCTTTCATTCTTTCACGTCTCATGTTCAAATACTCCAATTCTAGCTCAGATAGCACGTTGTGCTTGCTTGAGCTGTGTCTGTCTGTGTATTTGCAATCAGGCTCCAGTTGCCCAACTGTTCTCCTTTCATTGAAAATATTCCAGTAAAGAGATACAGGAGATCAGGTCTTCCTCCAGAAAAGAAGCCACTGTGTTGTTGGTTTTTTTTGTAACTCTTCAGATTTAATTTACTCAAATGGAAATAAATAGCTTCTTAACTCCCTTCTCTCTCCCACATCCAAATCTCACTTTCTCAGTTTCTTGAACTATTTCAATTTCCCTGACTTGTAATATCTGTGCTGTTGTTGATTCTTCCATTGGTTGCTTTTTTGTCTCAGGGTCCTGACACAGATAGATTCCTGCCAGTTTTTGTATAATCATTCAGATCTTCTTGTTTTAGGAATATGAAGCCATCTATCTAGCAAAGTTAACTATCCAGATGATGTCACCTCGGCAGCTGGAACGATCACTCTCAGTTAGTACAGGTAAGATTTTTGTGTATAGCTACAGCTGTATCTTTTTTTAACTTAGGCCATCTGTTCTTAGGATATCCACTGTTAATTTGTGAGGGAATTACCTTCTAGAAACTTAAAGAAAGGTGGTGTGATAATGATTGAACATAGGTAAGAGCTTATCTCTGAGTCTGTACCATGATCTGCACCAACAACATTGTTTAAAGTGACTGGGTGAGTCTATTGGGAAAACAAGCTGGAACCGTAGAAGTAGACCATGTCCTCTTTTCTGTTATCTCTGCCACCTGTGGATTAGATTCCTACACTGCCTAGTTGGAGAAAGCAGCCAAGTAGGTGACAAGATGCTGGGTACAGGAATTGGTAACTCCATTCTTGAGGGGAGAGGTGGTGCCTCCTTCCTTGATCAAGGCAGCAGTGTTCCCTCCTCAAGAAAACAACTCTTAGCTGCCCAGAGTCACCTGCTGGGGGAGATGGGCAGCATACAAATTTAATAAATAAAATAAACTCGTGGCCTAGCTAACTTTCAATTGTAACTGTCAACCTATTCAACATTCCCTTTCTAGGGAGAGTGATTGGACTACAGTTACCACTAGATGAACTAGTTTATCTAGACCTTTCTCACTCTGGCTTCAGATCTGGGTGTTGGAGTGAAATCATGTTGGTTGCTCTTGTTGGTGACCTTTGGCAGGATTGGGATGAGTATGACTCTTCTGATTCTGCTGGACTTTTCAGCATCTTTTGATACCATTGCCCATGGTATTCTTCTGGGTTGGGAGTGGGAGAGTGCTCTCTTCCTAAGTGGTCATTTCCAGTCAGCAATGATGAGTGGGGAGAGGTTGAGCCCTTGGCAACTTCATTCTTGAGGTACTGAAGGGCTCTCTCCTCTCTCCCATTTAACATCTACATGAAGCTGCTGGGAGTGGTCATATGCTGGCATAAGGTGAGATATCAATGTGCTGATGATACTTTGTTATATATCTCCACTCTGGGCCAGGTCATGACCCAGTGCCTAAAGACTGTTATGGTCTGGATGGGAAGAAACAATTTTAGACTGAATTCTACAAAGACACAGTGGCAGAGGACTTAGAAGCAAATGAGTCTATAGATAGTCTACTCTAGATAGGGTTGCACTCTCCCAGACAAAGCTGGCCTGCGACTTGGAGGTCCTTGGAGGATGCAGTTTGCTTCACAAGCAAAATGAACAGCAGATGGAGGCACAGCCAAGATGGCCTTTGCACAATTGCATCTTTTGTGCAGTTTTTCCTGGATCAGAAGGCTTTACTCACAGTCACTCATGCACTTGTCACCACATGGCTGGATTATTACAATGCATTTTACATGGGGCTGCCCTTGAAGACCATCCAAAAGCTTCAGCAGATCAACACGCACAACCTGGGTAGTTATGGACACCTGGAGGTCACCCATGTAATGCTACTACAGGTAGTCCTTGCTTACTGACCACTCATTCAACAACTGTACGAAGTTGCAACGGAGCTGAATGAGTGGTACTTATGGCTTGTCCTCAAAGTTCCAGCTGTTGCAGTTTCCCCACGGTCACGTGATTCAGGTGCTTGGCAACCAGCTTGTATTTATGATGGTTGCGGCATCCCACAGTCATGTGATTGCTATTTGTGACCTTCCATGCCAGCTTCCCACAAAATCAATGGGGAAGCTGGCAGGAAAGGTCATAAGTTGCTTTGGTAAATTGCTTCCACTGCTTTTTCTCCCGAGGAGCCCCCGGGCGGCATAGCAAGTAAAGGCCCCATGCCGCACCGTCCACCCCCTGGCCTTCCTGTGCTTGCACTGCGCTGTCCACCTGCCAGCCTTCCTGTGCTCGTGCTGCACCACCAGCTCCAGCTGCCTGCTGGCCTGCTTGCAAGCCGCCTAAGGAATGGCTTGTCATGACCGAGATTTGTGACTTCCTACTGGTTTCCCCATTGACTTTGCTTATTGGAAGCTGGCAGGAAATCACAAGTCCCGATCACATGAGTCCCTCGCTTAACAACCCGTGGTAATTGCTTAATGACAGCAGTGAGGACTGCCAGGATTGCCGTCACTAAGTAATATGGTCACATGACATTGCACTTTACGACCTCATTGCTTAGCAGTGGAAATTCTGGTCCCAATTACCATCGTTAAGTGAAGACTACCTGTACTGTGGAAGCCACAATGATTGCCAGTTAGCTTCTGGATGCATTTCAAGTTGCTGGTTGTCACCTTTATAGTCCTTCACGGCTTGGATGTCTCTATCACTATCTTCTTGAGGTTGACTCTGCCTCTCCTGTAATACTTATATTAATACTGTAAACCATTCACTGTCTTCAAAAATGGAAAGCATATAAGTTGTAGTAATAATAACTTTTGCCACGATCCTATTTTGTTCCAGAGTAAAGAAAAAAAGTAAAGAAAAAAAAGTAAAAAGCAAAGAAAAAGTAAAAAAAAACCAAAACAAGTTGATTATATGAATTGAGGTAACAGTTCATTAGAGAGACTTTCTGATTGATGTTCTGCAGAAGTCTGGGAGAGGGAAATAACTTTCAAAGATGAGAGAGGTGTGTGTTAGATATAAATCAAGAGTTTTGCACAGTAAGTAGTGTATCTGTTTTTTTAAAATATTTTAACTACTTTGTATGTTTAAAATGGGTATTTTTATATTGAAACTTTGCTTCAAATTTCTCCTTGTAGAATAAATTTTGGAGGGATTTTTAGTCTGCCAGATAAAATGAAAATATTTTAAAATTTCTGATTCTTATCAAACTATTTTTTTTCCCTAGAAAACATCTTTCTTACTACCTAATCTCTTGAATTTTACTGCCTGCTTCATAGGAAGTCTGAAACGAACACATGAAGAGGAGGAAGAAATCAGCAGTCTACAAGCAGCAGCTCAGAATGGTTGATAGCTGAAGATACTGGACTTGATTGTTGGGAGTTTTATAGCAGCTTCTAACCTTGGCAAGATGAACCACCAGAAAAAAAATTAAAAATGGAAGATGATTCCAACTTCCTTATGCAAACCTGTTCCTTCAGTAGCATACCAGGCAACATTTTTAAGGTATTGGATTCCTTGACTGACTAGAAGGCACTGATTGTTTTACTGTTTTTTGGGGGGGTTTTTTTTACACTTTATAGTTTTACCCTCACCCAAAAGTTTTGGACTTGCAAAGAGGTATTATTGCAATAATGCACTTTTCATACTTGAAATTTCTTTATTTGTATTGATAAAGTTATTACTTAAGCAAAACATGAGTTTGGAGATGATTTGTTTATAACGTTTTGTGTAATTTATAAGAAGAGTCTTTAGTAAAAACAAAAAGAAAAGAACTTAAATTAACTGTGGGTGGTATTTTTCATTTTCCAAGTTTAGGCTTCAGGCAGAAGAAAATAGAACTCCTGTGATTATCATAAAATAAATACAATAGAGATCAGTGTCACTGATGTATTGCAACAGAAAACCTAAGATTTTCTTCCAAATAAAATGTTCTTTTGTCTACACTTGGCTTCCTGCTGAAAGGCAAGAGTCCATTGTAAGACAGTTTTTCTAGGGGGAATCCACAAAAAGGTTCAAGCAGGCAAATATTGATATATGGTTATTTACCCTTCAAGCTGGACATAATCAGTTATCTATATCCTGTTTTCCAGTATTTCATTTTCTGTTTTTCAGCCCTAATATCATCTCAGGGTAATTATTCTTTGCTGCCAGTGAAGTATCCCTCAAAGCTCTCTTGATGGATCCCAAGTTGTACAGAACTGAATTAAGCAATCACCAGTATTTTCAAATAGAATTGAAAGCAGTGGCTTTTTTTTTTATTTCCAGTGTCTGCTAACTTAACTCTTTAATCCCATATGACCTTCAAGAAGGTCAGTGGAGCGTATATTATTCTATATCCATTCAGCCCAAACTGAAATCTTTAGATGCACTGCTTGAAGTTTAAAAAGGGCTAGTATTGCTTTCCCTTTTCTGTCTATGCTGTATCTGTGCAGTAAAAGTGTTTCAGGAGTTTGTGTAGAAAAAAAATCCTTAAAGTAAAACTAAAAACAAGGTACATTTTGTTTTAATCAGAACTTGAAGCATTGATTATTCTGCTTGGGATTGGGGTAGGGGCAGAATAGTCACTTTGCTGGACTACGTGCTTATTCATCCAATAAAAGCAGAATTTGGAAAAGCATGGAAGAGCTGTAAATAACATACTTTGCAGAAAATCCACATGCATCTGATTAATTAAACAGCACTTGTAGACCATCCCAATAAATTGATACTCTTGGCAGATGGGATTAGATAGATTCATCATATGTACCCTTTTCTCTCTTGATATGTGAAACTGAATCAGCCATTTTCTTAAGAGAATCATTCAGTAAGAAAATGAACTATGCTTAAGTGTGCAATTCAATTTGTGTTTACCCTTCTCCAGAGATTATACTCCTTTCGCTTTGAGAAGCAATGTAATGTTCTCTATCCAATGCTGTTCATTTAAAACAGATGTACTTTATTAATATTTCCCAAATTATAAGGTATAAAGCAGCTGGTACCAAGAAGAAAACCAATAGATCAAAATAATCACAAACTCCATTTATTTAGGTTTTACAATATTTTTAAAACATTGAATAAATAAGATTCAAATACCTTCAAAATTAGAGTACCTTAAAATATGAAATGGAATGCCTATCTCAACTTTCTGTAGCTATTTGTGATTCAATAATTTTTTTAAAGCTAATTATAAAAGACTTTCTTACCACTACATAATCTCCTTTATAATGCCCAATATAGTTTTTCCCTTCAAGATTAAAGGGGAATGGGGAGGAGGAGTTGTTCTTGTTACCATCCAATAATATGCAGGGGTGCAAAAAGTGCCACACTTGTGGCCTACCTGCATTCCTTTTGAAGCACTCATAGTACAGCAAGAATTTTGCATTTTTGAGAAGAGTTTTAAGGGCAAATGGATGCCTTATACTTCAGACATTTTCTTTAAAAAACTCTAGTCAAAAAGGGCCCACTTTGGATATGGTCCTGAATACTTTTATAGGGTGGATGAGCCAACACGTCGAGCGTATAATGAAACAAAGTGCTAAATTATTTCCTCTAAAAAATGAAAGCGAAAAGAAAAATCAGGATTTTGTAGGCTCTACTGAGTGTATTATGAGATGGTAATTATATATGATGCAAATAAAATTTCAAGCACAAAATACTTCTGTGAAACCATACATTTTGCAGCCATAAAGGTAACAAATACCTTAAAGTATATTTTAAAAAATTGATAAATTTTGCATATCCAAGTTTTGCTTCAATTTGTGAAATGGTTCAAGACAGCCTTCTCAATGGTTTGGGAAGCAGTACTGACTGGGGATGATAAGACCTTTGGTTCAACATATCTAAAGGGCACCAGGTTGGAAAAGGCTAATATGAGGTATTTTGGTGTATCAGCCCAAGCACAGAATCCCGCTTGTAATAATTCCTCTCCATTGCAAGTGCAACAGAACCAATAAAACCAAACTACACATCTATATTGGGGATTATCCATTTTGAAGTGCATTAAAGGTCAACATAAATGGTAAACATTGCAAGTTTTTTCCTTGTGACAAAAAATTACAAGAACAGTTCTAACTTACTAGTCACTGTTTAGCTGCCAATAAAAAGCAGCACAATACAGAAAAATAAAAGACAAGAAAAAAAATCAAATTAAAATTTAGTTTGGGCTATAAACCATCCTTACCTTGCAAAGATGGCTCATGTCCTAGCTATCAAAAACAATGTACTGGCTGAACAGGAAACTTCTTATAATAGGTTTCCTTGGTAACAAAGTCTGCAGTGTAGTCTCATATCTAGTATTCATTATTTATTTGCAGGGAATTTGCTTTCTGTAAAGAGAAGTCAGTAGTACAAGCTCCTCCACCAACAGTTGATTAAAAGAGATGACAGCAGGAACTTCTTTAATTGAAGAATCTTTGGTACATGTAGTTTTCTTCAGATACTGAGTATCCAAACTTTTTATAGAAAGCTACATTTTTTGGAAGACACTCAAGAGTAATTTTGTAGCAGTTTAGTCTCTTACTTAACAATGTAAGAGTTGACATCAATCTTTAAAAAAGACAATAGAAATAAAATTAGTTTTGCAGAAGGATGTGAAGACAACTATTTGAGACTGTGTCTAGTAAACAGGCAAAATTGTATTTATACCCCAGTGCTGCTACTACCAAATGATAGCTCTCATTTTCTATCCCTGTCTCAGAGATGAGTAGAAGCAGATAGAAGGGAAGAGACGGTAGGTATCCTGTAAAACTAGCTAAGTGTGATATAGCTTAGGGTTATAGTTAGGTGCAATCCTTGGGTCCCCAATATGACACTGATGGGCACCAACTGGCTCTCTACCTCTCAAAATATTTGAAAAAAATAATTTAAAAAAAATGAACCAGTGGAAATCAATGCACTAGTTTCCAGCATTATTTCCAAAAATGCTTTTTAGATCCTACAAGCATCCTTTGAAAATAAATTAGAGAAATGCAGCTTATTTTAGGCCATCAGAACAGCATAAAGCAAGCCTTGGATGACTGGAATCCTGGTTCCCAGAAGGGAAGCAGCTGGATAGAATGAGACTAGTCTGGGGTGCTTGAAAAGTGCTACCAATATGCCAAGTTATCAGCAGCAGTCTTACGAAAGAGATGTTTAACATATAGAATGTTTGTGCTCACAGAACTTCGTTAGCATTTAAGAGCATCTAAGCATCCCTTAATAGTTCCTAAATGCTAAGCAATCACAATTATGAATAATTACTTACAGTTTCCCAAGCTGTTTTCCTCTGCAATCTCCACTTACAACAACATCTTCTATTCTGCCCCTCTGAAAATAAGTTAATACCATTTAAAGGCCGAGTTCCAGAATTTATTCATGATTGCATACTTTTTCTTCAGTGTACATACCTTTGCACATGAGTGAGTGAACTTATGTTCTATGACTAAAGTTGCAGTAGCTACAATCTCTCCTAGATTAGTATCTTCCACAACTGTAACATAGTAGTCCCCAGAACTCCGCATGTGTTCGAAGTTTTCTGTGGAAATGTAGGCAGGAATACGAATACTATTGATAATGGATTCAACAGTTCCTCAGTATCAGGCTTTCTTGCAGCTCTGTCATGTTTGCTAGCTCAGGATGCACTGCACCTGAACTGGGACAAGCAGATGAATAGGGTTGTGAGAGGATTCTGTGGGAAAGGCAAGCATGTGCATTGACAGCATGGCCAAACTGGCAGACTGCCCACAAAAAATACAATTGCTTCAGTTGCTACCCAAGCCAGAGCTATGGAGCCTATGGGCCAATTGATCCCTCACCTCCACAATCCACCTGCAGCATAGATAATAAAAATGGGTAAATTTTTAGACCTGATTTGCATGTTGAGTTGTGGAAAAAAATAGGTACTTGATCCCTTTCCACCCATGACCAAAATGTAGGACACCTTTTCCTGTTTGGGGGAGGTTCTAAAGGGGTAAGGTAAACTATTTCTCCAAACCTCTAAAAGTGATATCTTAGGAGTTAATCACTAAGAGACCTCTGCCATGGAATCCAACCTTCCTTTTCCATTCTTCCAAACAGCAAAAAATTAAAGAGATGCTCACCAAGGAACTGCTGAGGGCTAACAACGCCAGTTTCAGTCAGTTGGCTTAGAACTTTTAAAAAGCCTATAATAATAACAAAAGTTTTCATATTTTAGGATGCCCTTAGGCAAAACCACCAGTAAAGCATAGAATTAAAATAAAACTCTGCAAATAAATATGTTTATATGTGTGTGTGTGTGTGTATAATGTATGTATAAAACATAATACATATGGCAGAAAAACACCATGAACATTCCACAAAACAACAGTAATAAACAATAAACCCCACAAAAATATTTAAAGATGCAGAGAGTAC